TCAAATTTTTTTATTTTTTTTTCAAATAGGAAAATAAGCTAATCAGATGTTTGGTAAAATTTTTTAAGACTCTTCCAGAATGAATACAATTATTTGAAGTCAACAAATTAAAAATATTGACATGTTAACTAATTGACAATCCTATACAGAGTCAGTTCCTTTTTAAGTGTCTAGTAGATTATATTGATAAAATAGCAAAACAAATAAGGACCCATTTAAATGATACTGAAAGACATGAGACTTAGAAGTGTCAGGTTGTAAACAAGTGAAATATCAGAGCAGCCATCCTCACTCAAGACCATGAATTCCAGTGAGGAGTATTGCTTTGGTTTCCATAGTAAGTTGAGAAACTAGAAAAACATTTGAAATACAGAGTACATCCACCAATCATACAAAACATAATACAAACTTGCTGGAGTAATTATTTATCAATAAAAGAATTAATTTTGTAAGCCATCTTGGAACTTATGGACTGCCTCAACCACAGTGACATCATAACAGTTTTAACAAGACGAGTTAAGGAATCAGTTCATATTTTTTTTTGTGAGTTGAAAGTTAATTTCTGACTTAAGTCACCCTCTTTTCAATTGATATTTATTTTTAATTGGCACCATAAATTTTAGTGATATTTTTGTGTTAATAAAAGATATTGTTGTATTAATAACTAACATGTTTTTTTATTAACTCTCATCCATTGTGATAGTGTTGTTGCTAATCTCTTAAGCAAAAAAAAAAAAAAAAGAATTACCAACAGAATTTGGCAGGTGGAGAAGGAATAATTATGAACTTCCTATTGACTAAATTATGGATCTTGCCCATCTTACCTCTATAAGTGGGTTTTTACAATTTAGCCAGGTCCTATAAATCAACTGGATTTTATTGTCTCAGATTATTCTGGAAGGGCCAATTTTGTTTTTTTATATACATATACAGTTTTAACATTTGTACACAAAAAAATCATGTGTCAAAAAGACTTTTGATGCTGTATAGTCATTTAACAATTTTTATTGTTTAAGAAACTACTTTTAGAATTTTAATAAACCCTAAACATTAAAAACTATTGCAATTAAACAGTTAATTCTCAGGAAATTTATAATTATAGTTACTCTTAGGTATGTGTTTAAGTTTTCAAAAGAAAAAAAAAAAGAATGTATAAATCCAGTCTCACATGTTTGGGCTTTATCAAAATTCTAAAAAAATAACTTTAAAACTAAAAAATTGTTGAGGGAGTATATAGTAATAGCAGTGTGAAGAGAAAAATCATTTTAGCACATGGCTTTTATTTATTTTTTTGCAGGTATGAATGTTAAACTTCACCAGATTTACATTGTTAACATTACAGCAGCAACCAGTGTTAAAATAAGTTTAATAAGTATTATTTTCTTTTTTTGTTTTAATCATTTCACCCCAAGCAAGGCAATAAAGCCTCTAATATACAAGAGGTTACCACGTGTTGGAGTATATGAGAAAAACTACTATTAAGTATTTGAAGACCAAATTTAACTGGGTGGCAAGAAACCAGAAGAGAGTTCCACAAGTGAGAAGTGTGATAGAAGAAACTGTTAGCATAGAACTTACAGTTACCTTTAGCCATTTCAAATGTGAGACCTTGCCACCAATCTAGTACTGCACTTCATAAAGTTTAGGTATCATAGCGGAAAGTTCATCAGAACAATTACCATGAAAGTATTTATAGAACAGGGAAGCTATGTTATGGCAATGGGAAAGGGACTGAAGCTGAGATGTCAAGTCAGAACCAATAACTATATAGATTCTTTGGATTTTTCAAGAATCTCTAAATATAAAGCAGGAGCACCAGACCAGACGTGGCAGCAATATTCAAAGCAAGGACAAATGGTAGAGTTATAAATAGGTAATATAGATTCTGGTGAGAAAAATTGTCTATCACCATAAAATTCTACTCAACCAAGTGTAGTTACAAAAAATACACATTTACAAAATGACAACTTTTATTACAGCAATTATATACAGTGTTTCCTCTCCATGGCAAAAACATTTTCATAAAAATGTTCTTTAAATTTTTACTAGAAAAAGAAAATACATTACCTTTCAATATCAAAGTGTTATAAATGGAAAAATATTGAAATTATTTAATACCAGGTGCTGAAAAATTCTTCAGCCAATCTAGAAAAGATTCAAAAAGAAATTCCAATGATCAGATATTCAGCACCTCTTCAACCTTAGAAAAAGGAATTTTTGACTACAAAAAAAAATTTGCTTAATCCTTGTTATAAAATGGGAAAATCATGGAAATAAGAACATTTGATTCAAGGCCTGTGCATGCAATATTATTTCCATGCTTTTTGTATCACAAGAATTGACTTAGAAAAAAAACTCAGTTTAATGCTGTATACTTATTTTGAAGTTGGAATCCTATCTATGCACAGCATGATTAGGAGAATGGGATACATATTAAAAGGTTCAAACACAAAGTCAGTTTTGTATTTCCAAATCGAGGTAATTCTGCATTCCTGATGCCAGCAAGATGAAAATGGTTTAGAGAAAACATTCTGCCATCACTTCATGTGCTTTAAAGGAAAAATCTTTTGGTAAATTCTGGTCACATGTTATTCAACTCCTCTGACAACAAAAATTATACTAAAAAAAAAAAAAAAAAAAAAATCAAAAATCATATTCTGTCCTAATGAGGAAAAATGGTTTGGAATATAAAAATAAACTTTAAAAGTATAACATTGGATTTAAGGAAACTTAACAGAGAGGGTCAATTGTTTAATTGAATATCAATTCTGGCTTAGTATTTTTTTTTTTTTTTTCAACAAGTATGAGAAATTGGTAAATATCTAAAGACAGTTGAGATCTGAAATGCTACTATATTTTATTAGGAAATCTTCAAATATATTAACATGTCCAGAATAGGGAAACCTAGTAAAGAAACATGGAACAAAGTACAAACATTAAAATTAATTTACATTGGAGTATTTTTTTTGTTTTTTAATCTAACAAGTCATTATTTAAACATGTTTAGAGAAATTTCTTATCCAAAGAAAACTTAAATATTGTCAAAATTTGTATATAAATTGACTGAAACACTCAATATTAAGAATTGCTACATTTTTTTTTCTTTTTCCAACAATTATATACATGCATATTTCCCGGTTTAGTTTAAAGTGATCTGATAAATATTAATACACATGAACATTTGATTTTTGATAAGGCAAATTTTACACTATTATAATTTTTTTTGCTTAAATTTACAAGAATTTTCAAGAACTACATTATAACTTACTCAGACAAGAATCTAATCAGCAGTAACATTCAAGCAAAGAACTCCTCCAGGAAGTGAAAAATTGATTGTCAATTTTAAAGTGTACAACAAAATGCATAATCTTTGAAGCTTATTTAATATGATTTAAGCTAAGGAAAATGGAAATTCACCCATAGTACCAAGAGTTTACTGAATTCATGATTATCTCTGCATTAAAATCAAAGGGAAAATTCTAATAATTGTTTTTTTTTTAAATTGCTATTAAGTCTGGACTTGGTACGACATGATTGCATGCTAATTTTATACTTCAAAGTAGTTGCTATTTACACTGCATAATTATGAATTAAAAAACAAATTTCAATTTGCTGTAAACAAATAAATATTTTCTGAGCAAAAAGATTCATTCTTAATGAATATTAAAGCCTCCAAAAATTTTCTTTTTACTAGTACTTATTTCATAGATGTCCAACTTTCACATTTGATACATAAATTGAATTTAAATTAAAAAAAAAAAAAGGACATACCCACATATTAGTTATGCTTCAAGCATCATACTTTTGTATTAGAACATGTCTACAAGTCTATTTTTTTTGCATACTAATGCCTGAAAATTACAAAGTAACCAATACTATCTTTTTATATCATATTTTTGCAATTATCTTTAAGTACGAAGAACTTTAACCTAACAGAACTAAGTATATATCAGTCTACTAAATTTGATCTTTGAAACAACTTTCAGAAATACTTGAAAGAAAATTAAATCTATAGGAGGGTGGTTTACTATTCACAAGAGTTTAGTAGGTTGACCACCCAATAATGGACTAAAGATCTGGGGAATGGTATAAAAAATGTAAAATGAGTTGCATATGGTTGGTGTGGATTCATTTCCTCATTTATGTTGTTTTTTTGCACCCCCATATTTTGACAAGGTACCCAATGGAAGGCCAGAAGATACATGACCAAAACAAAAATATTAACTAAATACATTCAGTAATTTAAAAAACAAAATTCAGATCAAAAAAAAAAAAAAATTAACGTGCAATATACATGCTGAAGAGTGAATGGATGGGTCAGTCTACAAAAACTCTGGAGTTGTGATGCTGAAGGTAACATCATTTAGCTAAGTGACAAACTTTTACTTTATAATTTTATATAAGTCAACACCTAGTGGTAACAGTCTGATTCATGCTTAAATGCAATCTTCAGGCCAGGAAGATTGCATTCAAGCATGAAACAGATTGTCACTACTCGGTGTTGGCACAGTGTCTACTTTTATATTTACATACATTCTATCTCTGATATTGAGCATTTTTACCCATAAATATAGTATAATTAAAACTATATTTCTATCATATTACATATATTACATGCATAGATAATATATATAGATAGATGTTTTTTAATGTCATGAAACAAGACAAATGAGCATTAGATCACAGCATGCTTAATCAATTCTGTATTCAAGATTGTTTAAATTATTTAACATATGCTGTTTTGGGTCCCTCCTCCATCCCCCCATAACTAATATTTATTAAGTATTCTAAAGAAGTAAAATGAAGAGGAAATAGTGGGGATAATAAGCAACATGAAGTTAATGTTTCAACTAAGATTCTACCTACAATTGTCAGAGGAGTAATGATAAGATGATATCTGAAATTTAAAAAAAGAAATTTATGTAAAATCAGGGTGGATATTTTACAAGAAAATATGTAGTGAGGCAGAAGGTGGGTTTGGTGAGAGTTACATTCTACAGCTAGAGCACCAACTGCAATTGCATCTGATGCTGTTGTTGTGCAAGTTGTTGCTTCAGGTTCATTTCCTGCTGATAGATGACATCTTGCTCGAGTTCTTCATGAGTTGGGTGTCGTAATTTGTGAATTGTTTTCTCCACAGCTGGGACATACACAGAATGGGATGGAATCACATTTTTATACAGCTGGAAAAAAAAATTGCAATGCTATTAATGAATACAATTACACTTAAAAAAGCAAACAAAAAACAACAATGAAATGAAAAATGAAAAACCTTATTTTTTTTTTTGTATATACTATATGTATTTTTTGTATATACTAGGATTATCATTGATTTGATATATTTTCTCAAGTATAATATGACCCCATGTTTCTGAAGCTAAAAACAGGGAATAAATTACATCCTTGAGTATAATACAACTTTGTAGTACTGACATCATTGTATTTTTTTTTTTTTTAAGTTGTACCATATTATCCAGAAAAATCTTAATGTTATATACACATTTCACTAAAATATTCAATTTTTCATGATGTTAAAGAATAAAAATTAACAGATGTTCCACCATTGCATATTTCTTCTACTAATTTCTGTTTCAAAATTTATTTTCCAACTAATCTGAGAAATGTACTAACTAGACATAGCCGGTGTGACACTATTTAGCTATGGTAATTAATTAACTAATTAACCATAAAAATTGAACAAGAAAATGCTAAAAACAGAAAAAAGGGTTTAACATTATCCTGAAGGGTATACTGTTCGACATAAAAGATTTTGTTTTGTTTTTTTTTTTTCAAAAAGTCTATTTTTCTCAAGAAACCGAAGAATTGCATCAATGATAATTTCACAGAAAGGCCATGTGGTGATCTTTGACAATTGATTAATGTTGGTCGCTAAAAGTGCTGGGTAAGAAAACACAAAATAACCAGAATCAATGAAGATACCATTTGAAAGTGCATAAGATATTAAGTGCACCAGTAAGGAAGTGGCCAGACAAGAGGGCCACATGTTAATTGTAAGAATTTTGGCAGGGAGAAAGGGGAATTGTGTAAACAAAGTTTGAGTTAGTTCAAGTCAGCAGTTTGTACACAGGAGCCAGAGAGTTGTCACGCAGAGTTGACCAAGAGATTCCACAACTCCTGCCTCTGACTTTGCCTTCCTACAAACAGCAAGTTATATTGACAAACGAAGCTAAGCCAGCACTTAAAAACTAAATCAGTTAACTTAGAAGACCAGAACTTGCCTAGAAGTATAAACATGTCACTCTCAGAAAAAACGGGTTGGGAAGAAAACACATTCCTGTATAGAACAGACTGATAAAAGTTGACTTGCTTTCTTTAAACATACCCGAACCTTTTTGGTTTTCATTTATTTCTTTTTGCTTGTGTGATGTCACCTCCAGTTTAGACTCACCTTGCACTATGGCCCCAGTGCCTAAGTGATCTCATCAACCTAAGATCAAAATCACAACGTGGGTAGGTTAGACTTGAGATCAAGGTAGTTACTTCAGTAACCAGTCATTAGAAGCGAGCTGAGAACAACAGAGCTGGCGCCAAACCGGTTGCATCACGGTGTGAAGCCGTTACATATTTATGCTGTTAGAATCAACTGACCCTCGCATTTGGTACCCTGACCAAAGGATCCCACTGGGTAGCGACTAAGAGTTGAACCCAGATGACCCCAGTAGGTGTAACACTAGTAATACATTTTAAGCTGTTAATTAATCTATCATACATATGTTTCCTTTGACTTTATTATATTTCTATATAGCAATAATCTATAAAAATAATAAAAAATAATGGTGACTTTCTTTAAGAAAAAAGAGAAATCTTTTATGAAAAAAAATAAAATAAAAATATAAATAAACTTTATCTTGTGAGCAAAACTGATCTAATTTTAAACATTATGCTGATTCCTAAAGAACAAATATTGCCAACATATCAAATGCCTTTTGTAAAGAATGGCTATCAACACCTGCCTACTTTGTGTTTTATTATCTATTGTGCTGAGTGGATTTGCAATATTGCTCTTTCAAATTAGAGATTTTTATTAAGCTGAGTAAAAATTTCTGAAAATTTGTACATTTCTATTATGCAAAAGAAAATCTGATAAGATTCTGTTTGAAATTAGATTTCTTCTTTTCTTTTAAACAACTCTTAAAAAGTACTTGGTTACCTATTCAGCCTTGATTTAGCAGATCATTTAACTTCAATGATCAAGCACAGACTTTAACATTTATGCTATACAGCAAATGAAAGTGTGTGTGTGTATATATATATATATATATGATATTATATATTACACTTGCGTAAAAGCCGCTGCATTTGAGTTTTCCTTTTAAAAGTTCAACAATAATTCTTCTGCTGTCACTTAAAGACAATTTTTTTATGTACGTAGGTCCTTACTTTCTGTACTAATAATTATTTTTAATTCATCACAAAAAATCACGTAAGAAAGAAAGAAAAAAAAATAAATAAAATCAACAAAAACAATTGCAGTAATGAAAACTTGGGAATAAAAAATTTCAGGATTGCGGCCCAATACCAAAATGGTATATGTTGGGCTACAGCCTCTAGGAGTAAAGTTGAAAACACAGACAATTTTATTTTGAAACTGTAATTTGAGAACAGTAATTTTTTTCATTTGAATAGGAGCTATTGAAAGTTAGAGAGTTGTGTCCCTTTAATTGTTTTTATTAGTAGAAGCCAAGATGGTGGAATCCAAAACCAATCGCAGTAATGAAAGTTTGAAAATCTCAAATTTCAGGATTGCAGATCCAGATTGGAATGATTTTAATTTGCTCACGGAGTTGGCCTGATTCAAAAATTATATGATATGATGGGCTATGGCTCCTAAGAGTAACGTTGACAGTGACATTTTCATATTTTATATATATATATATATATATATATATATATATATATATATATATATATATATATATATACATACACACTCACATACACATACACTTTCATTTGCTGTATAGCATAAATGTTAAAGTCTGTGCTTGATCAGTGAAGCTAAATGATTTGCTAAATCAAGTCTGAATAGGTAACAAAGTATTTTTTAAGAGTTGTTTAAAAGAAAAGAAGAAAAACTAATTTCATACAGGATCTTATCGTATTTTCTTTTGCATAATAGAAATGTACAAATTTTCAGAAATGCATACACACACACCTCCAGCTTAAATTCAACCGAAATAATAAAAAAATGACTGAGGCAGCCTCACTTGTATATAACAATGTTTGGGGAGAAATAAAATACCAAAATTATAATGGGGTTCTTTACCTGTAAAGCATCAAGCAGATGAAACAATGTTATTGGCCCTTGATCAATCCGTACACGTTTGTTCATTGGAATAGAAGCAAGTTGCTGCACAGCTTCCATTTCAGCTGCTTCTTCAGAGTTGGAGATTTCAGTGGTATTGCTGGTGGGAGGAAAAAAAAAATTTTTTTTCTTTTCTTATAATAGGTTTGTTGTCATTTATCATTACAATCTAACTTATATATTCCTATTTACTAGTATTCACATCTTTTTTAGTATGCAATTTGTCAACAGAAAAAGACAAAAAAAGTTTGGTATAGTCTGTCTATATTTCTGAGATGAGGTATTATGTACATTATTTACATTATTCGGACTATTGTCTTCATCTTTGTCGCCATATTTATCACAACATTTCGGCCATTGTACGCTCTGGCCTTATCCACTGTGCCATGTGTCCTCAAGGACACAGTGGATAAAGGCGTTGGTTAGATCCAGTGACAGGACCCAAAGAGTGTGAGTTCAATACCCGGTTAAGGCAGTGAAGAACTTTCAGAGGGAAATTAGCAGGAGATAACTGATAACTGAAATCCATCAAACATGGCACATGGAACTAGAACAGTCTACCTCAGTGAGCGAAATAAAAGGTTCAGTTCGAAATTCCAACCACCTGAAGAAGGCCGGAACATACAATGGCTGAAACATTGTGATAAATATGGCGACAAAGATGAGGACAATAGTCCGAATAATGTAAATAATGAAGTTTGGTACAGTTTCACCAAAACTATAGGCAATATTTTCACATCTGAGTTTCATATAGGAAGAAATGGGGAAACCAACCAAATAAAATAAAACAACAAACTGGCAAAAAGTAAAATCTCAATAAAATGATATCAAAACTTTTCATTGCTTTCTTTTAATATTGCAGGTAATTAAAATTTATTTAATTTCAGCAATTTCATATTCCTTAAAATTATAAAATTTTTATTTTCTTATTAACCCATTTTATCCAGTATGTATGAGCAGTAAATCTGACTTTTAATAAATATGTGTTGATAAATTTTAACCACCATAATTGAAACTGATATCATAAATTACTATACAAACATAAACCAAGCAAACCTAAAGTTCATCTCTTTACTATAACGATTATGAAGATTTTTTTTCCACACTGGCTACAGCAATATGAAGTTGAGCTCTATTCTTCAGATAAATTTTATTTCAACAACAACACTGATATTTCAACCCAGCTTTGGAAATGGGAACAAGTTTTATGACATCAAATAATAGAATTGCTAAACAAGTTGTTTTTGATAGAAAATTTTAATATAGCTATGAAAATCTTTTCATCTTCCATCAGCATGGCTGATACAAAGCTCCAAGAGAGTAACTCATTGTGACTTCTCCAGCTAACATTTTCTGCTGATATGAAGCAGAAAAATTATATTGAATCAATTGCCGAGTCTGCTGCTAGGAAAGTGGGTTCATTGTGTCATGCTAGACAATTTTTCTTGCCAGAATCTAACACATAATCTACCATTCATCGATGCATTGAATATTGCTGTCACATCTCGTTTGGTGCTTCTACTATATACTTAAAGATTCTTGATAAAATACAAAGAAGAATCTGCACACACAATAACCCCTTGCATTTTAGTGGCTTTATTGCCTTATTTGGGGTGAAAAAGCATTAAAAACAGGGGAAACAAAAAGTAAGACAAAATAACTACCATAAAGTAGGTGAAAAAAAACAGAAGAAAGGAAATTAATTTTTTTTTCTACAAGAAAACCTTTTATAAAAAGCCATAAAGTTACTATTAATCTTTTTAAGAGTGTAAAGCCTCACTATAACATATCCAAATTAAGAGACATAGATATATATGTTTGGGATTTGTGAAAATAGACTTCCATATTTGAATGTTATTACAGAACTAACAAGAAAACTAAAACTCATGATTTCCTTTATGAGTTTTGTTATTAAATTCTGCAGTAGATGTCGTCTTTATTTGCAAAGCTGGAGTGAAATGTCAAGTTATATTTTGCTTGAAAGAGAAGTCTATATCACATTGCTGCAATCAGTGTGTGTGGGGTAGAGATCAAAGTCTGGTTTGCTTCTATAAATATGAATTTGTGTCAAATTTTAACTGCAAAAATTCTAGTTATTAACAGATGTCATTTCAGATGACTGCTAATACATATTGAGCATAATATCACTAAAGTGGAATCAGAACTAATAGAAATATATACAAGACAATATGACCAAAAATTGGGGAGAAAGTTTATCAAGGTACACACAAGATTCTTTTCTTTATGCATATTTTTAGAGATTCAAACACTAGAAATTAATGGATTTAGATCCAGAGCCATAATGACCAAGGTGATTAAAGCTATTTGTATATAGGATGAGCAAAGTTTAATACAAATACACAAAATTGTTGTTATACTGGAACACACCTATTCTATAGTTAATAGACTCTCCCACCTATAATTAGTAGTAGTAGTGAGTGAGTGAGTTGGTCAGCCAGTCGATGTCGGACACTAAGAGTATCAGCGACCACCACTAGATTTCTCTGCGTCATTACCTATTATATCAAGTTCCTAATGTTTTGTACGTCAAACCTTTTTAGGACCGACTTAGTGAAATACTAGCTTCCACTGTGAAACTACTCTACAACACTTGGCGACGACGATTCGAAACTCATACTGAGAAAAAAAAAAAAAAAAAAATATTCATTCGCCATATACAACACTTGGTGACGAATTTATTTGGATTCATACGGAGGAAGAAAAATTTTCGTTCACCATACAACACTTGACCACGAGGATTCATACTCATACGGTGGAAGAAAAAAAAAAATAAAAATTCATCCGCCATAAACTTGGCGTATGAGGGATTTGGATTCATACGGTAAAAGAAAAAAAAATATTCACTCACAACATTATTTGGTGACGAAATTCATACTCGTACGGAGGAAAAAGAAAAAAAACTTGCTCATCAAATTTTTGGCGACAACATCTCGGATTCACATTAAAAAAAAAACAAAAAAAACTTGGCAAAGTTTTTCGAAAGGCAAGACGTCAACTTAGTGATAAAAAAAAAAAAAAAAAAAAAATCAGTCATATTCTCAACTGAGAAAAGAATTTTTTTTTTTCTCGATAGGACAGTTTGCTCAAATAGGTCACGAATTTCAAATTCGTTTAGGACCACCCTCTACAATATTTAAGCATTGTGTAAACTTTTTGCAAAGATGGAGAAATGCAAAAATATATTCCAGGAATTTTTTAAGTTCCAGACGGAACAACAGATGACAATATTAGAGCAACAGAAAACATTTCAGATGCAACTACAGGAGGAAACCTTTAATAGACAGATGCAGTTTCAATGAGAAATGAAACTGATGCATAAGGAGTTTCAAAACAAAATTCTGGAAATAGCTGAGAAGAGGAAAGAGAAAAATCTACAAAATGATTCTTTCCCAGAAAATCCAATATGGAATTCAATTGAAATATTCACATACGATCCAGATGAAGAGATAACTTTGAAGAGTATTATAAAAAATATACGGACGTGTATAATGAGGACTGTCATTCGTGGTCTGAAGGAAAGAAGGTTAGACTTCTTTTAAGCAAGTTAGGAACTGCTGAGCATAACAAATTGGTAAACTACATCTTACCAAAAAAAAGGCGGTAAATATATTAAGTGAATTATTTAGTAAAAAGACATCTTTGTTTCACAAGAGGAGGAAATGTTTGAATCTGATGAAAGATAACGAACAAGGCTATAGAACCTACACAGCCAATGTGAATAAGCATTGTGAAGAATTCAAGCTAGCAGTTAAGCGCTGACAACTTTAAGTGCTTAGTGTTTGTTCAAGGGCTGGTATCAGAAAGAGATGCTGAGTTGAGGAAATTAGTACTGTCAAAATTGGGAAACGAACCAAGAATTTTGATACAGAAGTTGGCAGAAGACTGCACAAGATATGTTAGCATAAAGAAAGATTCGAAAAAGATAGAACAGTCTGGCATTTCGTATGTAAGGAAAATACACTACAGAAAAGTCAGTCAGTCTACTAAAAAGAATTCTAAAATTGCGGATTATCAAACAAAAAGTGAAATACCAGAAAAAAATAAACAAAAACTCCCAAAGCCATGTTTTGCTTGCGGTGAACTTCACTGGTACAGATATTGCAATTTTAGGAATAAAAAATGTTTCAACTGTGAAAGAGTGGGTCATAAAAGCTCGCACTGCAGGTCAAAAAATAAAGACAATAAAATAAGAAAATTAAAGTCCAACGAGGTGAACGATGGAATAACTAGAAATTTGTTACCATCGAAATAAGTAATAAAAAAATAAAAATGCAACTCGACACTGGTTCCAACCTATCTATCATAAATTTGCATACGTGGAAGAAGTTGGGGAAACCAACTTTAATGAAAACAAATAAAATCGTGAGGTCAATGACAGGAGAAAAAATACAATTTATTGGAAAATTTGTTACAAACGTCACGTTAAATAAAAAAATGCGAAAAGCTAAACTATTTGTCATAGAAAATACCACGAACTTACTTGGTACGAATTGGATAACAGAATTCCAATTATGGGATCTACTGATAAATTCTTTCTGTTACAAGGTTGAAAGTTTAAACTATGAAGCCCAAAAATTAGTAAGGAAACTTAAGGTAACATTTCCTACTGTTTTTTCTCCAGGTTTGGGAATGTGTACCAAGATGGAGACAAAATTACAACCAAAACAAAATGCTCAGGCAGTATTCAAAAAGAAAAGGAATGTGCTGATTGCTTCAATTGAACAGATAGATAAAGAATTGGACAGATTAGAGAAAACCGGTGTATTTAAAAAAGTTGAGTGGATAACACCGACGATATACGTGAAAAACAAGCTTCAGAAAGTAAAGATGAAATCGACACCAAGAAAAACTGGGGAACAAGTCAAGGACATGCAGTATTATTAAATGATTTAAGTCAACTGAAGTCCCCACAGAAAACGTTAAGAAGCACAAGATCAACAAAAGGGAAGCTAGAGGCTGAACAAATAGAACCACAAGAAGAACCTACAGAAACTGTGACTCCATTCTTAAGAAGCTCAAAGCGGAAGGTTGTTTCTGGCAACACTATGGAGGTATAAAAGAAAAAAAATAATATAGAAAGCGGATTGGCAATATGATGTACTTGGTGAAAGCCGAAAAATTTACGTGCAGTAACCAGATCAGACGACATTTTTCGAACGTGGTTGACAGCGGTCCCACGGAAAAAACGCCGATGGAGGTGATTTTCAATACGTTTGATCTAACAACGCCTGCAATAATTTTACTGGAGGTACGCCGATCCAGAAGAAAAAAAAAAAAAGAAAGGCAACTGATCATTTAAAAGTGAAAAAAAAAAAAAAAAAAAAAACATAGGAAATATGCTACGATGTTGCCATTTGTACAATATCATCCAACAAAGGCCACAAAAAATAATCATTTCTACCCTTGGTTGGAGCTAAAAATTGCACTGGACAGTTTCTTTTCTTTTTTCTTGATGATTCAGTCATTTTCTATGGCTTAACCTTTTGCAGGTTATTTAAAACCAGAAAATATTTTTAGATTATGAGAATTTCTTTTTTTTTTTTTTTTTTTTTTGAGATAATAATTTAGTGATACAAGTTTTACCCATAGCTGTAGGAAAGAGGTGGTTATGTACCTTTCCCAAGAATATTTGCATGCAAATGAATATAATGATTCCAACTGGAATTGAACCTCGGCTCTCCAGTTAACAATTCTGAGCCATTAACCACCTGCATATTTAAGCTTACAGCACCTGGTATTCCCGAGCAGTCACTCATCTAGGTACTGACCAGGCTAGATGTTGCTTAACTTTGGTGATTGTATGGGAGCAAATGTTTCAATGTGATATGGCTGTAAGCCTAGCACTGGACAAAGATATCATATCAATGACTTGGTCAATGTAAATGTTGGAGTCATAGCATACTGCAATCCATTGGCCTTGTAGTTAAAGGTTATCTGAGGTGGTGGTTTTTCATCATCACAACTGCTTGAGTTGTTTGAATACTCAGATTCACTGAGTACTTTTTCTTCTTTCCTTTAAAAAGAAGAAGATGAAGTCCCATTAAAAGTTACATCACTGTAATGTTTATTTTTATCATCAAAACAGTTCTTAACTGTATCAACAACCTTTTCATGCATTGCAAATAATTTGGCACCTTCTTTGACCCACTTCACACATTTACAAGAAAACTACCTCTCAGGATATAAAATTAATCATCCATGAACAGAAGATTCAATTTAATCCCCAAATCCTAAGAATTAGAAAAAAATATGGTATAATATTGCCAGCCACAAATGTATATGAAAATGTTTGACTATTAAAAGGAAAACTGGAATCTCTATTTAAGATTTTAAAGTTAAACTAAAAATATATCCAGTTTATTTTATAGTATGAATTCAGTTTCTTTTTTGTTTAGACAAAATACAATGAATAAGTACTTTATACAGTTTTAAAATGCATCAGTAGGGAATATAAAAGAAAGTGAATTAAACTATGAAATATCCACGGATAAAACAAGCTGGATTTAAAATGGGGTTCAGCTGGTGATGTTCATTCACTCAGTCAGCAATTCAAATTTCAGTGCATTATGTCACTATTTTAATAATGGATGCTTCTTTTTCCACATTTTCAAAGCTGAGAATATGGAAAAAAGAATGACCCATTATTGAAATAGTGACATAATTTAAAGAGATGTAGAATAAAAACTAATCATCACATACAAGAGTGAGTTGTATCATTATAAAGAGAAAAGAAGGAGTTTTGTTTCTTAATTAATTTTATCAAAATAACCTCGGAAATGAGCAAAAACCCATCAGTTGAATTTGAAGGAATTTTTATTATTTTGACCCATTTTCACAGCGTAAATTAGTTTTGGGATAGCTTGTTCAATAGCTCAACTGCAAGTGACAGAAATTTCTGCTGAAGTTAATGGCTTAATGATTTGTGCCATTATATGATTAAAATGACAAATAAAATCAACTTACCTATCACAAAGATAATTAACCTTGAGATAAGACCGTTGTAAGTACGGATTAGGAACATCACAGCCAATGGAATGCTTGAAGCGCTTTTCTCGTACACGGTAACCACTTTTACGTCCCAAAACTTTTACAATAATGTTCTTGAGTTGACTCTGCAGAAGAAAAACCAAGAATTAATATTTTCTTTTCCAGTTGACAGCATAAACCAAAAATAACAGTACAAACATGCCATTAAGACGTGTTATTAAGCACCAAATATCATTCTCTTATATTGCAACAAAAATCAAGAAAACTTTCTTTTTGAAGGCATGTAAAAAGAATCATTTTGACTTTATATATAAGCTTTCTAAGTAACAACCATCCAAAGACTTTCAAAGATGAAACATGCTAAAAAAGAAAGCATTTGGTAAATGTCTAAAATAATTTAATGGTAATTGGAATGGACTAACCCTTTCAAATTTTTATGAAACAGAGATCACATCCCCAAGGTGGGCAAACAAAATTTTAACACAATACAGATGTATGTCTATTTCATGTGGAGAGAAGTGGCAGGTAAGAGTTTAACCTTTCAAGTAGTGGGTTAATAGTTGATGATTTTGGAACTTACCTCAACTGCTGTCATCACAAATTTGACTGCATTTTCAGCCACATCATCCAAACCATTCTCCCAGGCACATACATACATCCGACCATGAACCATGGAAATATCAGGCAAGGTGGCCTCTCTTGATGCAAAACCTGACAATGTAAAAAGAAAAAAAATCTCCATGAATAAACTACTTACAGATCACATTAAAAATTTTATACAAAATTTATTTTTCTGTTTATAGCATATTCAACTAAGTGACTTGGCTATTCTAATAAAATTTTACATGTGAAATATTCAACCTCATTTATTTTATATCTTTAAATATGTAAACAAGGGCTGAGAAAAAAAAAATTTTGCTAAAATGTTTAAAAGATTTTTCACTGTACAATGAAATGTAAAAATGAATAACTTTTATGAAATGTTTATTCTTTACCATCCCCAGCTTTCTTATTTAAAAAAGAATACCTCTCCCTTTTTATACATACATCATATCAATATTTTCCCCAAAATAGAACCACCAAAAACTTACCAACATTGATATCATCCTCCAAGCTCCGGGGACTCACCAGTGGTGCATACGACAGTGGATTCACTGGCACAAATTTTTGCTGGAAGAAGAAAAAAAAGAATTTTAAAAAAATATTTTCACTTCAAAAAGATTGAATACACTTAAAAAATTTCACAAGAAAAAGATGTACTTAGACAAATGAAATGATCCAAATACAGTACATTATAAAAGCTTCCAGCAATTTAAATAAAATTATAATATATATATATATATATATATATATATATATATATGTGTGTGTGTGTGTGTGTGTGTGTGTGTGTGTGTACATTTAGGAAAAGCCATGACAAAATGGGAAAAGTTTCCATGTCATGCATTTCATCATGTAGGACTTCAGACTAAAGTGATGTTTACGTTGATGAAACTACACATGCACATGAAGGAGAGAGGACACTTGTTGTCACATCAACGTAAACATCACTTTAGTCCAATGAAGTCCTAAATGACGAAATTTTTCTTAATGCATAAAAGTTTACATATTGTTTTCCTATATTCAGTTATTAATTTTCTCAAATCTTTTGTCATATTTTGTTATTGTAATGTTTTAAATAGAATCAAAATTAACTGGAACAAAGTAATATTTCTGAAACTGACTGATTTATAACTTCTCCCAGATTTATATTTCTATATAACCTATTTTTAAAAGCTTCCCTTAGGATCAGTGAATTTTATATTCTGAAATAGTGCACTAACTGTTCATAATTTGGTTAAAATATAGATAGCATGAATAAATATTTAACTAAGAATATTTTAGTTAACAAAGTTGACTATATATTTTAATCAAGTGATCCTAAAACACAAAAATTTGAACATCTTATAAATAAAGTAAATAAAAATAATTAATTCAAAAAGCATGTTGCAAATAAGTTACAATTATTTAAAAAAAGATTTTTATATTTGACATTAAAAAATCTAAATTTATACTAATGCAGCAAGAGTTGAAAAGTAATGCACACATTTTCATCATGGGAAATACTGACAAAATGATATACAAAGATGTTGCACTTTTTCTTAATTCTAAGGTACTTTTAATGATTAGACATATTTTTTGTTCAAATTTCTCTAACCTATAAAAAGAGTTGTTATAAAACTACACAAATTGCCAAAAAGCTTATATCAAGGTGGCAAGAGTGACAGGAGGTAAAGATTCTAAAATGGAAAGAATTTTGGTGAAAATAAATGCATAGAAGCCTTTCATTTTAGTTAAGATATATTGAAGAAATTATAAGAAGCAAATAATGATGGAGGCTGCATAGAAAACAAGTATATTGAACTCTAAAGTATAATTATGTTAAAATTTGGTATTCCAGACTCAAGTTGAAAGTACTGCTTATTTCTATTGTCTTCCTGTCACAAGCTGGAATTAAACTACAAAGATGAGGTGGGGAAAGTAACACACTTACTGTATAGTTATTTCTACTGGCTGCAGTCACTGCTTTCTTTTTCTGTTTGGTAGGTTTCTGTTTAGGGGAAGAGTTGGAGGCACTGGGTGCTTTCTCTGTTGTCACTGAGGGGAAAAAATCTAAATAAGTGCTCTTTTTCCCCCACCAACAAAAATTTAAACTATTGAATCTAATAAAAGTCATAGGTAACAAACAATACATCAAAACTACTCTAATCATTAAATAAAAATTTTATAAAAAATAGGCAATCAATCAGGATAAATTGTTTGCAAGACTTTCCTTTCTAAAGATTCAGTTATAACCCTGGTTTATAGCTATTGCTAATACAGAAAATTTTCACTTAAAAAGTTTTTTTTTTATACATATTTTGAATATAGCAAAATGCAAAAAATAAGTATTCTTTAAAATTACAAGCTTTTCTTTACATATGTCACATTCTATTTGCAAATAGGTTATTAAAAAAACATCTGATTTCAGGAAAAATATCAACACTGATGAATGAGAAAGATTTTACAGCTTATCAATTCCAACATAACAGTTATACAATGCCAAGCAAGTTACAAAATAGATTCTCTTAATCTTTAATCATTTATCCAATAAAATTGTATAAAAATGCTGACGTGGAGAGGCTGAGAATAGGTGCTCAAAAGATTTAAAAGTTGATCCATTACTCTACACAGAAAGTAGATTCCACCTGTCAAAGAAAAAAAAAGCTAGCCTATTGACATTATAATCAGGTGGACAGGTGAGTGTCAAGTGGCCAAAGAAGTTTAAAGAAAAGTGCAAGTGAGTCACCAGCTGTCAGAGTTCATAATGGGGTTATGAAGTATAAAATGTTTAGTTAAGTTACTTGTGTCAATTTAAACTTACTGAATTAGCTAAGCAAATTTTATTTCCTTTTTAGGAAATTCACTGAATTATATTAAAGGATCAGTACTGAAAAAAAATTTCATCTAGCTAAATGGTTAGTGAATGAAAAAGGTTTGAGTAACAATTTATTACTTATTACTCTTTCTAAAATGTGTGATTATTAAGTTTAAAGTAGTTTATAGCAAATAAATATAAACACAGACATTGTGATTTCCATTTCAGTTTTCTAACAACTAAATTCACTCAAGGCAAATGCAAAAAAAAAATATAAATCTTGAGGTCTGATATTTCAGATTTTGGAATTTGCTTTTTATACATAACTATATTCTTTATTATTAGTTTTAGGATTTGGACTTACGTTTTGAGCCAGTAAAAATACTAGCAGTGTATGAACAGACCTTGCTACTTGGGTGTATGAACATCTGTGTGGGTTGCAGTGGGTGTTGTTACTGACATGTCTCAAGTGCAGAAGATGATTTTTGTAAATTTGTATAATTGCTTTAGTTAATGTTTACTTCCAAACTGAGCTACATTTTAAAATTACATTTCATAAGAATAGACAGCAAAATCTTTAATTCAACAATTCTACATTTTCATTAAAATATAAAAGCCATATAATAAGAAATTATTTCTAGAAATAAATTTCAAAAACAATGAATATTTCCTTGGAAAATAATTCCAGTAACCTGATATCAGTCAAATATCTACAGCTAGCAAATTTATTAAAGAATCCACAATGACAGCAGCAGTTATTATATAGCAGTTAATGCAATGATTTATATCAGTGATGCTGAATATATTGGCAGAACTAATCAGTGATTGAAATATTGATCAACTAAGATCAATAAAGGACAATATGAAAATTTGCATACATATGTTAATACTTCCAGTTCTGAAGAATATAAGTCTTAGCAGACTTCCCTCTGTAAACAGATGGAATAGTTGATGTGCCTTAATGTAATCTGTCTGATTTATACTGCTGATTTTCTGGTAAAATTTTATTCTCATCCCCTTTTTCAGTTGTTGTGTCCATATTTATGCTTTGTCCTCAAATTGAGCTCTTGCCAATACTTATGCTTTGTCCTCAAATTGAGCTCTTGCCAATACTTATGCTTTGTCCTCAAATTGAGCTCTTGCCAATACTTATGCTTTGTCCTCAAATTGAGCTCTTGCCAATACTTATGCTTTGTCCTCAAATTGAGCTCTTGCCAATACTTATGCTTTGTCCTCAAATTGAGCTCTTGCCAATACTTATGCTTTGTCCTCAAATTGAGCTCTTGCCTCAAATTGAGCTCTTGCCAAATTTGTCCTTATGCTCTTGTCCTCAAATTGAGCTCTTGCCAATACTTATGCTTTGTCCTCAAATTGAGCTCTTGCCAATACTTATGCTTTGTCCTCAAATTGAGCTCTTACTTATGCTTTGTCCTCAAATTGAGCTCTTGCCAATACTTATGCTTTGTCCTCAAATTGAGCTCTTGCCAATACTTATGCTTTGTCCTCAAATTGAGCTCTTGCCAATACTTATGCTTTGTCCTCAAATTGAGCTCTTGCCAATACTTATGCTTTGTCCTCAAATTGAGCTTTGTCCTCAAATTGAGCTCTTGCCAATAGCTTTGCCAATATGCTTTGTCCTCAAATTGAGCTCTTGCCAATACTTATGCTTTGTCCTCAAATTGAGCTCTTGCCAATACTTATGCTTTGTCCTCAAATTGAGCTCTTGCCAATAAGTGGTTAGTCCCCATTTTGTTTTCTTTTTTCTTTTTTGTTATATTTTTTGGTTTTCCATTTTATGGAGAGTAAGAATTTGTTTGCTTACCCTTGCTCTTCCACCCATTTTGTTTTAATACATTTGTATATATTTATATATACTTTTAAAATTTCAGTTTTTAAAGCCTTAATAATAGAAATTTTATTTATAATCCAACATTATTTCTTCTTATTTTAAAGAGGGACACAGGTTTAGACACTGCTGGAAGGCTCACATACAGGCCAGTAGACAAACTTAAACAGTTTAAACAGGGACCTCTACCTCTATATATATATATATATATATATATATATATATATATATATATATACACACACATATATATGAGTGAGTGTGATAGAGAATGTTAACAGCATTGCACAGCACAGTATGATGAATTCTTATTGCCACACCCAATTTCTACTACTCTATACAAAGATTTGCATACAACATCAAAATTTAAAACAAATTCAAAAGGTAACATTTATTTAGAGTAGTGATTCCAAACATGGACCATAAACCCCACAAAGGCATAATTTTAATAATTTGGTATGGAAGGAATATACAATTTTAGTGAGAAGAGCAAAAAGTATTCTATAGAGAAGAGGTTTAACTGATTACTTTTTAAAATATTAAGAAGTATTCGTATATCTATTTTAGCTGTTGAAGTGGGGGTATGGAGTAAAAAAGTTTAGGAACTGACTGAGAGACTTAAAATTGGATAAATGTAAACATTCTTTTTGCTCTTTTTTTCAGTTGAGAAAATCCTTTTTAATACAACTATCATATGGTTTTAACCTTTCAAAACATTTTAATAAAGATTTTATACATGACCTCAACCTTGTGTAAATTTTTTTCTAAGTAAAAGCATACAAGATCAAATATTCCTGAAACATAGAAGTTTCTTTTGTTTTGATGGAGCAAGTATGCAAGTAACAAGAATAAAAAGAATTATTATTAGCAATATACTTAGTCCTCTCCTACAGAATAAGGAAGCATGAATGTCTTTTTTCTTATTTTTTATTGTTTACAGAGAAAAGATATAGTTCAAATGGCATTTATTAAATGATAAAGCTTGAATTTCAGACTACTGATGTTGAACATTTTACATGTAAAAATAGTCACAGAAAAATACAATATGATTAAATTTAACAGATTTTAAATAATTTCATCTATCCAAAGACAGCATTTGTGTGTGTGTGTGTGTGTGTGTGTGTGTGTGTGTATTGCAAATTCATCTAGTTTCTTGCAGGACAATGAATAAAGCACTTCCAATTGAGAGCATTATTCATTAGCACAACTATTAAGATTCTGCATTAATAGTATCAGAATATTACAAATCAATAAGCATTTTGTTTTTTTAAACCTAATCCATGACATGGTAAGTACCATTGTTAATTTAGATTAAAAATAAAATAAAAATATTATGAAATGCCTTACCAGCTGTATTACTTAGGACTTGGCATTTGGCAAGAATAGCCAACAGGAAACGATTGTGGAGGTGAACTGAAATAGAATTGTCAAACAAAATTTTCAAGATTTTTCTCAAAAATAAAAAAAAAATAAAAATTAATGCAGAGAACTAAAATAAATAAGAAAAAAAAAACTTCCTTCTTTCCAATTGTTATAATTTTAAAATGGGCCAATAATATAATGAATTAAAAGGCCTTATAGCTATTTAAAATTATTGATCTTCATAAATTTTTTTTTTTATATCAATTCACCCCAAGCAAGGCAATAATGCCACTAAGACACAAGGGGCTACTGAAAAGAGAAAAGAAAAAAACTTTACGAACAGGAAACAAAGGATAAACCTCTATTGTTGAAAAATGGGGAGAAGTGGAACCAGATGATAGGATAGGCAAACTGATCTACTCTCATTGAAAAAAAAAAATACATAAATAGTAAATAAAATTTCAGAGTTTAGACAGAAACTTTAGAAGTATAGAGTTAAAATAGACTTTAGAAGTATAGAGTTAAAATAGACTTTAGAAGGAACCAGAAACCCAATCCTGCACAGAAAATGGAATAAACGGCTCTCATTCAAAAAACTGGGGCGGAGTTTGAATCAGACAATAGGAGTTAGAAAGCCATACTGATAATATAAGCAAAATAATATAGATGGTGTTGATATGGACACCATGGTAATTAATTTAGATGAATTCAACAACAAGATTTTTTTGCAAATTCACGAGAGGAAAGAGTAGGGGTAATGAGGAATAGTAGAAAACGTAGATATATAAAACATAGTTAACTTCATATAATGTAGCATTGAGCAGATACAAAAAATTAGAATGCTGATATTTTCACTCAATTCAATGTCTATATGAACATTTTAATTTTATTAGGTTAGTTTATAAAATCTCAGCAACATTTTTGGCAAGAAAATTTGAAAGCATGATATTTATGCTTGTGCAGGCATACCATTTAAAAACTATTTACAGAAAAGTGATTATATATATATATATATATATATATTAGAGCTGGTCAGTTTGGCAATTTATGTCTTGGTATCTGTTTCTGTTTCTTTTTTTCCTTGATACTGCGGTTTTTGATTCAGTTTTTAATTTAATATTTTTGCTTTCTAAGGAAGCCATTCCCTTTTTTGTGTAATGATAGCATTTCCAGTAGATATTTGATTTTGTTAGAGAATGATGCAACTTAGTCTGCTCAACTCACAATTTCTTGTGTATTTCTGGTCCAATCTTAAAAAGAAATGAAATAAAATAATCTTTCTAAATATGTAATTTGTATGTGCTTTTATTCATCGAATTATATATATATATATATTTTTTTTACAGTAAGTTAAAATAGCATTTTGCTTTGAACAGCCAAAAAATGATTTAAAAAAAAAAATTTTTTTAAGACTAAATTTTACACATTACTTTATTTTGCAAAACCAAAGTGACCAATCTTGAATATTGATATTCTAGAAATTGTACACTCAATTAGAAGACACCTTAAACTACAACCAGGAAGATGTTCATTTCTTTTCTGACGTGTGGAAGCGACTTCCTTCAAAAATTATAAAGTAAGCAAAAAAAAATAAATAAATAAAAAAAAAAAGAGCAACTGATAGTAATAAATGTGCAGATAGATAAAAGAACTTTCAAATTATTGAAACTACTATCTGACACTGACTAGTGGCTAAAAAAGAATAATTTTAACTTTGGGTTAAAAAAAAAAAAAATGACTTGCAGTTTTGAAAATATACACATTTTAAAACTGAAATTGAAACTTACTCTATTTTTTTAATATCTAATTTTAGGTGTATTCGCTAGATGAAAACAATTTTATTTGTAGAAAACAAACAATTTTACACTAGAGACTTGCATATCTGGAAATATACACATCTTAAAAGTGGAATTAAGAAGTATTTTAATTATTCTTAATATCTAATTTAGGTACATTCCCTAGATAAAAAATTTCATTCATTTTTCTTGTTTAGAACAACTTTATTTTGTGATAGGGATACTGGTTTACTAGAAAACCCTTACAAAAAATCTAACTTCATAAAATTTAACATTAAGATGAAACTGGCAACTATTTTTTTTTTTTTTTACTATTTCATTGTTAACTTAATTTTACCACAAAAAAAATTTTTTTTTGAAAACTGAAACAAATAGATTTCAGACATCATGTTGTATCATCCTTTTTTCTGTTTGAAATCATTCTACAATTTCCAAGTATCATTTGTCATATATCTTTTTTCTTCATTTCTTTTGTAAACAAATAGATTTCCCATTTCCTAAAACTAGTCAATTAAATGTTTTTAACATATTTTTGTTCATTTTTTTCTTCTCAAAAATAAAATATATATTCATACAATACATAAAATAGCATTACACACCAAAACAGACAGGATTATTTATGGATAGCTCATTACTTCTACCTAAGACCAAAGTGCTGCTTTCAAAATCCTTTCCCACCAAATCTACTATAGTATTTGTGCAATGTGAAGTATTACCCATATACCCCAAATCCAAGCAAAGAACACATTCACACACACTGATGTTTGGCCAGGATCAAAAAAAAAACTTTTCAATACTAATATATATGCATACATGTAAATAATTATAAATTTCTATGCAAAAATTCCTAAGTGTTTCTACAATATAAAAAAAATTCCATGCTTCTAGCAGCATTCACTGGCAAAAAAAAAAAAAAAAAGTTATATTTATACAGAAAATAAAAATATTATAGTAATTTGTCAATCTAACCTTGATGCATCAAAATCTTTTTTGGTAGCTATTGCTCAACTATTTATAATTGGTGCATAAGAGTATGAAGTTTTATATTTGCTTAATATTTACTAAGCTAAGCTTCACAAATTCTTAATGCTTTGCATCACATACAACAAGTGTTTTAACATCTTAATTTTCAATAAAAATAAAATTAAAATTTGAGTATTTGTGTAACTAAAGTAAAACAGCAAATGGTCAATAAGTTATATAAACTGGCCTACAAAAATAAAACAGTGAATAGTTAATTTATTCAATACCCAAAATTTCATTATACCTGATATAGAGACTATATAAAAGATAAATGCAGAAACTATAAAAATCAAAGAGTAACTAATGAAAAGTCAAATACAAAATTGGATCAGCCAATTTGATTAATAAGATGTTTATAATTTTGGATGTTTCTTAGACTATTTAAAAGTAAACAAGCAATTTACCCATGTCTGCTTTCAATATTTTTCTGGCCTCCAAATCAAATTCTTCTTTTGACATCTGAAAGAAGAAAATATTAAAGAAAAGACAGCATTAATGAAAGAAAATATCAAAAGATATACAAATAAATATATGCCAATGTTACTTTATAAATGGAAAAGCTCCCCAAGTAGAGACTTCTACATATTAGCTCTGACTTTGCCTAACTAATGATGGCTAAACAACACAGGATTGAGTCTATGAGGTACTATATTTATCCAGGTATATTCCAAGGCTGTCCGTAACTAACTTGTGTTTGTTGAGTGTTGATGCAGGGAATTTAGTGATGTCTGCAAAATATCCAATAAGGTTTAAAACTGACAAGTGTAGGGACAATGGAGTATATGCTAGTCAGTCAAGGGTCATTGTAAACAGTTTCATGTCACTGTGAGCAATTAGGAACAAACCATCACTAGTAGGAAACAAACATGGCAAGGATGCAAATGGTGTGAACAAAATCTGTATTATATCACAATTATGAAAACTGATTCAAGTTTCCCTAGTGTTTCTTGTGAATATATTTCAAACAATTACAGTCACCACCAGTTTGCATGACAACATTGCTGGCAATACAGATCTTATATAGTCACTTCTATGTATAAGCTCCATCATTGAAAAAGCTGGAAACATTATTTGTCTGACTAGGCAACCCATATTCCTTGGTCCAAAGGTGATGTACTCTGACCCAGGGGAGGCACAGTAATTAATGCTGTGGAATCAATAACAGAACTCCTGTTAACTGAGGATTACAAATCCCCATGGAATGGAATGTAAACAGTAAAGTGCATTGGTACAATGAGTAAAATTACTATTGAACTGGGATATGATTTGATGCAATATTCCCTTTTGTTAGATACTAACCTAATTTATCAGTTGTTGGTGATCCTGTTATTGCATTACCTGCAGACATCTACAGTTATCACATGCCACTAAAGTCTGTCTGGAGTTAATATTATCCTGGTATACCCTTGCCACTCCTGCCCAAGAAAACCTAGCATGGTTGCTACTGCTACACTACCTGTTTGACTATTATATTACACATAGATCAGAGTCCATTTCTACAAGTGGAGGAGAGTAAAAAAGCCATATATTTTACAGCTGAACTTTTGAGTAATTTCAGTTTCTATCAGAATACTCATTAGAAACTTTCCAGTGTAAAAAGAGAGAAAAAAAAACAAAACTAAAAAAACAATATCTTCTTGTGTTTATACAGATCTTTGGGTATACAAAATAAATATTGTAAAATTAAAGGTTAAATGATTGACAAATGATTAGAAGAATTTATGAGGTCACTAAATATTTATTGTTTTGTAGAATTTTTTACACTACCATTATTTTTGTGACTTATATACTATGTACACTGCCAGCAAACATTCTACAAAAAGTCATTAAATCTTTTACAAGGTATAGCAGAAATACCTCCCATATTTTAAACTGTTACCTGTGTGGTACTAGTGAACTTCATCTAGCTAATGTCTTAGCATTTTCTTTTTCAGATACCATCAGTTACCATCATGGCTTAGATTAGAGCACACCGTGTGTTTACTGTTAAAATGCTTTTTAAGACTAGTTAATCTGTAATTGCAATACAAAGAGCTTTTTGTGCTCATTTCTTGTTACATTGGAATGATACTGTTCCAGATAGGAAATTGATGTTGCTATATGTTGAAAATTTCAGAGCCACAGATTTAGCACTTAAAAGCCCAGCCACCAGGAAGACCTGGAAATGCACAAACTTCCATGTACGGAAAACTTTAGAAATCGTCTACAACAATGTATAGTGAATAGAGACCACTATCTGGAGGATGTCATCTTTAAAACTAAATGAATAAAAACTTTGGTACTTTGTTAAAACAACAGTAAAATAATTTTTTTAATATCAGTTACCTTAGTCTTTTGTCAACCTTTAAATTGTGAGAGGTATTTCCGCTGCACTTTGTATAACTGACTAATCAAATCAGATAATAAGGCACTGCTGAAACTTTAATGAAAAATACATACAACACATGACTAAATCAGAAGAAACAACCCAGTAAACATCTACTTAAAACTAAAAAAAATGAAATAATGATTGAATAATTTAATTTTTAATTTTCTGAAATACCATCAGTATGAAAAAAAAGTTAGTAAATAATGAGCATGTTTAATTTACAATTGTGATACTATGTGTTGATTGCCCCATCTTCACAGATGACCCTCAGCTGATTTGAAAGGCTTATACCATAGATGACAGATATGCTCCAGAGTCTTCACGAGGTTAAGCGGATGTTACTGTGGTAGATAATCCTTGTGCACCACCATATGCCTCTTCAATCCAGATGTCAATTCACATACTTCCCTGCAGATCACACATGTAGTATCATCAGGTCGTGGAGGTAACAGAGTGAGATCGTCTCTCGTGATTTCAAATGATTAACATACCCAGCTTTTGACAGTAGGATATGACCACGTCTCGCATTTCCATCTTGCAGTGCTGTCATCCAAGCTCTTGGTAATACCTTCCTTCAAATCCCTTTTCAGTGCTGCATATACTAAATTCTTTTCTTCTGTTGACTTACATCCTTCTACAACAGCCCTGCACCACTTATTGCGATCACTAGCAAGGTTTTCCCAGTCATACACCCCCACCCTAAGCTCTTTCAAGTTATTCCTCACACAGTCCTTAAATTTCTTTTTTGGCTTATGCTGAGGGTGCTTACCATTTGCAAGCTCAACATAAAATAGCTGCTTCGGACACCTACTGTAATCCATGCATACCACATGTCCAGTCCATCTCATCTGGTTTTTAATCAGTAAATTTTCTATGCTTGGACAGCAGGCCCTGAGAAGAACAGTGGTGTCCAGTACCATAGACTGCCATTTTATATTAAGGATTCTCCTTAGACAATTTTGATGAAAGCACTCAAGCCATTTCAGGCAATGATGGTAAATCGTCCAGACTTCTGAAGAGTACAAAAGGGCAGTCATTACACAAGTTTGGTAAACTGTCACTTTAGTACTGCTGATGATGCCTCTCTCTGACCACAAATGTTTCTCTAACTTTCCAAATGCAACCAAGCCTTTTGGATTCGAGTATGTACTTCAGCATCAAGGGATCCATCCCGAGATAATGTACTGCCAAGATACACAAATGTATCCACAACACCTAACTGAGTGCCATTAACATGTATGTTTCATTCAATGTAAGGCATACCAGGAGGAGTGAACATTACTTTGGTTTTCTTCAGGCTTATGGTCAGTCAAATGCAGTAGCAGAAAAACAGTCCATCAGTATCTGTGTATACCTCTCAGAATGTATGACAAATTCAGTGTCATCATCTAAATAGGCTCATGTTTGGAAATGTTAAAGCATAAAATCAATTATACTTGCAAAATATATAGTTTAGCTTTTATTAGAATTTTTTTTATCAATATTTATAGAAAATATTACCTTACAGTTTTAACTGAGAAACACAGTTTTAAATTTTACATATTTGATTAATATAAGTTTTACAAAATTGCACAAAGAAATCTCAAGAAATAATTTTTATATTTTGAAAGAATCAGTCTTTAAAAGAATATATTTGACCATGTATATTTATGTATGAGGGTCAGCTAGAAAGTTTATCGGCTGACCAAAATATAAATGTTGTATTCTAGTACACTTGCAGGCCTTTTAATCTAGCAACTGGTGTGTCTACTTACATTTATATCTTGGTTAGCCTATGAACTTTCTAGCCGACCCTTATATATATTGATTGTACCAGGTGTGGTGGAAATACCTCCCATATAATGGTAAAACATTAGTGGCAATGGTGTCTTCATCTAGCTAATGTCTTACCATTATGTGAGAGATATTTCTGCCACACACAGTATATCTATATGTGAAATAAAAAGGGTAAACCAAAAGTTAAAGCATAAAACAGAAAGAGTTTTTTTTTCTTCTTTCCATTCTAATAAGAGATACAGTGCTAACAAACCTATTAAGATAATCTTGTTTACAATAACATTACTAACTGGAATACTATGGAATGTGTTATAGCCAAACATAAGCAGTTATAAAAGAGAATTGTTACTTACAGGCAATTTTCAGAGGAAACCAAAAATTCATATTTTATCCTAAATATTTCTTATGAATCATCTATACGCATCATTAAACCTACTTCCAGTTATTGTGATTTTATTTGTAGTTATCATTGTATTGCTCTATATTGTAAATATTAAGAATGTCCAAAAATGACTAAAAAAGCTCTTTTTAAAATATATTTCTAACTATATTGCTGTAAATGCTTTACATTTCTGGAATTAAAAAGTATGCAGTCATTTTCTCAAAAAAAAAAAAAAAAAAAAAAAAAAAAAAGAATTTTTTTGTTAAAATGTTTTTTTATAAATTCAAAATGTTTCTTTTAACTCAATGTGCAAGTACATGCTTTAATCATTGAGCTAGCCTTGTTTTTATGATGGGAAGTTCATTTCTCTGTGAAAGAGGTTGCCAAACTTTCTTTTCATCTAATAGAAATAACCAGAGACTCATTGCAAAATTGCTACATAGTGACATAGAAACTATTCAATCACAAATGGTTTAATCAATTTTATATATATATAATTTATAGAAGTATTTAAAATATTTTTTAAAAATTCATATAATTAAAAAAATTGAAAAATCTTACATGAAAATAAAAATGTATTTTTTTAAATTTCTGTTTATAGTTGCAACTGAATGACAAAAAAATTAAGTGGAAAATGTTGATTAACTAATATTCACTTTAATTTGAAAAATATACTAAAATTCAACTAATTAATGGAGTTGAATAAAACTTTCAGCATTTATTCAGTGATTACTGGACCTAACGATTACTTTAAAAAAAAAAAAAAAAAGTAAAAGAAAATTATAGTGAAATGTTTTTAATGTTAGTAACTCCTTCCCTATTTAATTTTGTCAGCTCTATATCAAGTGGAAACAAAAATTTTATAAAATGTCAAATAAAACCCCAAATAATTTAAATAAATGCAAATCTCTTTCTAAAATTACCCTGAATTTGAAAAGTTTAAATTGCAATATAAACTAAGACTACTTTTGTCAAGCAGCTTTTAATTTCATATGCTAAAATATATTGTAAACTTAAGCTATATAAACAAAAATTATTTAGTTATTTTAATTTTGAAAAAAAAAAGATTAAAAAGATATTTCTGTATCTCTGAATTTTTTTTAATCATTTCACCCCAAGCCACTAAGATGCAAGGGGTTACTGGGTGTGAGAGAATATGAGAAAACAAAAAAAAAAACCACACAAAAAAACAAACAAACATTATTAAGGAGAGAGAACAATAAAAGAATAGGAATTAAGACAGAGGATAATGATTGATACTGAATTTAAATTTTTGAATATCAAAGCTAACTAGTAAGCAAGAAACTGGAAGAGAGTTCCTCAAATAAAAAGTGCAAAAGAAACTGTTAGCAAAGAACTTACAGTTATGTCTATCCATTTCAACTGTAAAATGACGAGACCATGACACCAATTTAGTATGGTGCTTAAATTCATAAAGTCCAGGTATCATAGAAGAAAGCTCATCAGAATAATTACCATGAAAATATTTATAGAAAAGGCCCAGGGAACCTACATTAGAACAATGGGAAAATGAAGTAGAGTTGCTAAGTCAGGATCAATAACATTACAGATTCTTTGTATTTTATCAAGAATCTCTAAATACATAGCAGAAGCACCAGACTAGATGTGGTAGTAATATTCAATGCATGAATGAATGGTAGACTTCTATGTAAGAGATCCTGGCAAGGAGAACTGTATAACATGACACAGTGAAACAACTTTCTTAGCAGCAGACCATAGCAATTGATTCAATATAATCTTTCCATTTTATATCAGCTGAAAACATTAACCTGAGAAGTCATAATGAGTTACTCACATGGAGGTTAGCATCAGCCATGCTGAGGAAAGGCAAAAAGGGTTCTCCTAGACAATTTAAAGAAAGTAGTTCCATTTTAGGGGTGTTAAAATTATCAAACCATTCCTTGCCCCAGTTAACAACAGATCATAAATCATTTTTTAGATCAACTGCCAATGTAAACTTATTGAACTATTAAGACAAGAGTAAATAGTTGTGTCATCAGTATGAAAATTACGAACAACATAGGTCCAAGGACAGAGCTCTGAGGGACATCTGCATTAATGCAAAAAGATCTAGAAGAGTAGCCATTCAAGGCAACTTTCATTTTGCTATTTAATAAGATTGAATTAGTTCAAAAAATTCCATAAATACTATAACCTTTCAACTTGTGAAGAAGACTAGCAAGCTAGACCTTGTCAAATGCCTTTGAGATATCCAAAGCAACAGACCAAGCTTCATCATTTTGATAGACTCTTTCAGCAATAATTGTTAATATATCAGCAGTTATATATATATATATGTTGTATCCTCTGTTTGTTATTGAACTCCTCCTAGGGTTTTGAAGATAGACCTCCCATAACCTCACTCACACACACATATATATATATATATTGAAACTACATTAGCCAGGATACTTGGATAAATACATTTCATTTTGATCAAAGAGGGTTACCCCACCACAACAGAAAATTCCACCCCCTTTGATTTAAATTAAATTTGATCAAAGGAATTATTCTTATATAGGAGAAAGCCAGAAGATGGAGGTCACATCAGCAAGATCATTGAGTAATACTGACATGCATCATTTTTCTTCACAAATTATGATTTAAAATTACATCATTTTCTTACAAAAAATGTAAGACACACAACAAGGTATGGGTAATTCAGCTGAAACCCCGTGAGGTGAGATATACCTGAAATGTCCTTTTTATATAATAATGGTATTTTAATAATCTAGAAAAGTAACAATTATTCAAGATAGTAGTCAATAGAATTTTTTTTAATTGTTATTATTAATTACATTTTATGCTATCAGCTTTTATAGAATCCCCTTTTTGTATATTATTTTTCAAATGTAAAATAAAATTAAATAATCATCAATAATAAGTGAAAAATCTTCACTGAAGATGATTTGCTAAAAAATTATTTTACTTTCATGATAGATCAAATAAATTAATTGTGAAAACAAATTTACTACTTTTTGTTTCAAATTTCTTTTTTGGAGTAGTGTGGGGACAATAGGAGTGTTTTTTACTTTTCAAAAATGAATTTAAGTTTTTTGTTGACAGTATGAAGCTTCTTTTCAGTTTATTCAGCAATAATAAAATATTTCCCAGCTAGTGAATAATACCATAATTAAAAAGGATTATAAGTATTGTTTATTTTTTACTAATGGTATATTTTTTAACATACTAGCTTGTTAATTATCTGGTAGTGACACATCAAAATAGGTATTTGTTATTTTGAGTCATTCATACTTTAGCTGCTACATGACATATGCATGAATTTAACTAGGTTTTTTTTATATTTTATTTCAACTATGTTTGACATTCTACAGATATCTGCTGTAAACAAATGTATTTTTCAATATATTTTAAATAAAATGTAAATAGTTTGTTGAAATTGAGTAATCATTAATAAATTTTCATCAGATCTTTTCTATTGCTGACTATTTTGATAGATTTTTAATTTTCATGGCATAATTTGTAATGAACAAAAGTACTGAATTAAAAACCATTTAAAACCTACATATAGAAAAAAAATTTCCTTGGAAAAAAAAAAACAAAAAAAAACTTCCAAATGATTGAAAAGTTTTCAAATTTTAATAAACAAATCTTCAGTCATATCAAAAAGCATGAGTAACCAGTTCACCAAATACACAATATTAATTCAAATTTCTACATGTTGCCATCTCTGTAGCCTGTATATAAACTAAAAGCTTTGATCCCCTGCAAATCCAACCAAATAACATTGACAAATGTTATACACATTAATCTACCAACCAGAATAAAAGTTTGTTTAGTTTCTTACCCTTTTAGTCTTCATTTCTTTGTATCCAAAAATTGGGACCTGAGATATAGCTATTAATCAAATTTTGATAAAAAAATGTTCACTGTTTAATCTATGTAAATAATATTTACAATTGAATTATGTGCATCAACAAAGAAGATGATAATGAAAAATAAATATTTTTTTAAATTCATCTTTTTCTTTTCATTATTAGGCTAGAAACTTATCTGTTTATGTATACCCTATCACTTGACCAGCATATAACTGACAGCAGTAGTATGCTACTTACTCATACTTGTAATAAGACAAATAAAAATTTAATGATAACTACATTTACTTACCTTTTGTCGAAACCATGATTTCAAACTCTGCTGGTAACTGAAATTTAAAAAATAAAACAAAAAATTTAATATTCATGTAGAACATGTTTTCATACATCACTTACTATATTTTAAGTTTTTTTATACAGTTTTTCATACTAATTTTAATCCTTGGACTAAAAGTGCATACTTTTACTTTATATTTAAATGCAATGATTAATACCAAAACCTCTGGTATAATATCAGCAAAATTTTAAAAACATATAGTTAACAAAAGTAAAGGTTACTTTTAGTGATTAAGAGAAAACAGTTATTTCATATATAACAGATAACAGGCATTTAACATTGTAAATAAGTCCTTTAAATATAAACTTAAATTAAGAGTGAATTGAATTTCACTAACAGCACACCAATATAGGAGATAATTCTTTTTATGTCATTAAAATAATGACAAAAACTTGAGATTTAATTACTGCACATGCAAATTGAAATGATTAACTTAGTTTTCTTGACCAAACAGTACATAAATGTTGTTAATTACTTTCTTGTAGTTATAAGCATAAAACATACAAGACAACCTGTGTTGAAGACATTTTAGGTAACTAAAAAATTGTGTTCTGCTTAAGAAAATATTTTAAAGGACAGAATATTATTAAAAAAAAAAAAAAAAAAAAAAAAAAACTTTATTCACTTTAATATCCATTTTCAAAAGTATTTTTTTTCTTTTGAAAGTATTTTCTTATTAATTTATATTGTAATGATTACAAATTATTTGCCATATTGTGTTTCCTTGCTAATACAAAATTATTAAAGTGTCAAAACAGTTGATTATAAAATAAAAAAAAAAAAACTGATTCAGATATTGTTTTATGCATTAAAAATATATTGTAGTTACTGCCAAAATTTGAGCTAAAAACCTTAAAAACATATTTAAAATAATTCAAATTTCTCCTTTTTAGTAAAATTTTGGTTCTATTTGAAAGATAATAGCCTAAAGCTGATAAATAAAAAAGAAAAATATTTTATGCATTTGAATAAGGCTTTAAATTGATCTGTAATTTTAATTGAAAAATAATGACAAAATTTAAAACACTTTAAAACTTTCTTAAAAAAAAAAAAAAAAAAAAAAAAAATATATATATCTATCCTATATATTAGTTTCAAAGAGAATCATTAAAATTAAGGATTAATTAATAGAATTTTGGAAAAATATTACTTTACTGTACACTAAAAATATACTACAAAAAAAAAGACAATACAGCAAAGTATATTCCAACTATCAAAAGAGCATAGATTAAACAACCCCCACTTTTACAAAAAACTACCTCAAGTTTAATTAAATATAAAATCTTTGAAACTACCAAAATACAGAAACTAGTTTGATTTATGTTTATAAAACATTTTTAACTATTCCATAACCAATGTAGGAATATATTTTTCATTCTATAAATAAAATTCTTTATAAAACTTAATAGAATATTTTAATATTAATAGGAATATGAAAATATTTTTAAAAAAATAATAAAATGTATGAAAATTTTTTACTGAAATATCTTCAGGGATTTTCTTTATAAAACAATAAGAATATTTGTCCACCCCATCCATTTTTAAAAGTATTCACAATGTATCAAAATGGAAGGTAACTGAGACCTCCAACCCCCACCCCCAATATTTCTACAAAATTTAATAAAACAACCTATTCATTAATAAATAATTTCTGAAAATTTAATTTAGATCAGATGATTCTCTGATTTTTGGTATTTTTTTAAAAAACAGTAGGTAGCACTTTTGTTGCTTTCATTTCAGAAAACAAAAAAAAAGGATCCATTTTGGTGGTACCTAATAGGTACCTTCATGAGATTGCTAAAAAAAGAGCATAGTATGATGAAAAAGACACCAAACTTGACAAAAACAAAATTTTATTGTCTGAATGTTTATGTTATTATTAAGAGGAAAGACCAAAGTATTTTTTTATTATTTTTTAAAATTTTTCCTTCTTTTTAGAAATTCTAAATTGTGATTAAAAAAAACCTTGTTTCTCTTTGTATTATCGAAACTAGTAAAATAACATACAATTTTTAACACGTATTTTTTTTTTGTATGACAGACATTAATTTGGAAAATCTTGCAAAAATAAAAATAATTGTCGGATATTAATGAAACTTTCAGAAACTATTCACAAATGATGGAAATTATTATAAATATATTTTCTTTTTTTAAAGTCATGACAAAAATATTTTTTTTTATATTTATTACCCGCTCCTCCGACCCACATAACTAATTTTATGAAAATTCTAGAAATTCAGCATTGTTCAGTTTAGTGATTATATTACTTAAAAGCACAAGGCCTTGAGGAAAGCAAATCATATTTTTTTTAATTGGACCCCCCACCCCGTATCTGAAAATCAGCTCTGAATTGTAACATACAAAACTCAATAAAACAAAGATATTATTTAATTGCAAATGCATTTATTTACTTTTAGTTGTTTTAATGAATATGGACAATATTTTCTGAAAGCAAAAAACTGTTTTGATCAAAAATGAATTTTTAATACAATTATTTGTTATTTCTTTAATTATTTTAGATTTAAGTTATAAAATTAGTTAAAAGCCGCTTTCAGTTTTGTAAATGTCCTTATGAGATAGATCTTTTTCACCGCATTGTAAATTGTATTTTTTTCAACCAATCAGAAGACCCACAGTAATTAAGAAATGTAATTTTGTGTTCATAATACAGTGCTAATTATAAAGTATGGAAGACCAACCAGAATACAATTAAGTTGTGTTATTTGAGTTAAACATTGTTCTCTGCTGTTATGGCCTTTATTATTGCAAAACACATGTGAAGTTAATTTGATTTTTCAATTTCAACTGAGAAGGATACCTACAAGTATTAGTATCATCTTATGAAATTTATATGATCTTATTTTTATATTAATCTCAGTTATGACATTTTTCCATAAATGAAATATCAAAATTAATAATAAAATGAATGGAAATACAAATAACACAGTAAAATGTAATAAATTTATATAAAATTATAGTATTTTATGTACACTTCTGATAAAATTTCATAAGAAAGGTACCTATAAATTAATTAGATATCTTTCTTATGAAATTTAATCTCACTCTCAACAGTCTTATTTTAATTTTTTTATAATATATTTTCCATAAAGCATTGTAAACATAAAGGTGAAAAATGGTTGACATATTGATTATCTGTCAATTTTGCTGACTAAAAAAAAAAAAAAATTTTTAATGAAAATTTTGGACATGCTAGGAATGATTAAAAAATGTAAAAAAAATACCCCAAAAATACTTTGATCTTTTCTCTTAATAATAACAAATTCATCAAGTTTGGCATCTTTTTCATCATGCTATGCTCTTTTTTTTTAGCGATCTCATAGAGGTACCTACATAAACAAAAGAGATTTGAAGAAGTTTCCCCATACAAGGAATTCTCAAGCTGGGATGACAAGGTTGACTGGGGGTTGTAGTTATGGCGACACCCAGAGTCGTTCAACTATTTAAATGAAGGCAGTTGATCAAAGGAAGGCACCACGATCATCTGGCAGGGAGAGTGTTGGTCTACTAGCGACAAGGCCAGTTCAATATTACTTCTTTCCACAACTGCTTTTATGGGGATGCAAACCCCAATTGCACTGCTCTAAATGGCCAGTCAATAATGATGCTTGACCAATGGTCTTGTGCCATACGCCTCAAAGGGGAGGAAAGAAAACTCCCAAAACCCAATATGATTGGTGGTCCAATCAAAATAATGGACTTGTGTTGTAAGTATTGGAAGGGAGCCAAGAAGCTCTATTCCAACCCTTCTCTCATTGGTGGGTTAATCAAAAATGGTGGCCTTGTATCACCCATATCCACCTTCAGTGGAACATTTTCCATGTTCCAGAATCTCACCCTCATTTGACCTGATTATCACAGGTATCATCATCAGTTCTATCAGAAAGTGTGTTATATTCTTGATCAAAACAAACCCGATTTATTAAGATTTGCTTTGTGTCACTCATTCCAATGAACAGTTCCCTTTATCAAAATTAACACTTAACTTAAACAAACTTAAGACTGCACCTAATGACTAATCTCATCCAAGCGTGCAATTTCACCTCTCACACTATACTCTATAAGTGACACAAACCAGATAATTCATGGTATCATACTGTTTTAACATGAATATATTTTTCTTTCTGTCATCAGTCAATCTTTGATACCAGTCATGGTGTCATACAATAGTGTCCCTAATATATCTTATTCATGAAAGTAGGTACCCTCCACAAAAAACACATTACCTAAGGTTTAAAATTAATTTTTAAAAATGAAAAATCTTTCTTCAAGCTTTTATTTTAGTTTTAATTTCAACTTAATAAATTAATTTTAATATTTCCAATAAGCAAAATACTTTGCTGTATTTCAGAAAACAAATTTAAATTAGCTGGAATTATTTTTTTTGCTAAAATAGCTAATTAGCACTCTTTTTTTTTATAGCCGTCTTTCACCACAATGTAATTCTCTTTATTAAAAATCTTTCAAAAAACAAAGTATACTTTTCTGAAACTTTATATGGAGAATATTAGCTGATTTAAAGTATACTGTAGTTTGTTTTTTAAGTTATCATCTAAAGGTGAAATTAATAAGGCAGAATTTTAAAAGATTTAAAACTTAATAAAATATTCTAATTAAAATTTAATTTTTTTTCAGCAAATTAGTGGAGCAATTAATAAAAGCTTTTCTAATTAAATAATGTCTTAGTACTTTTCTAATTAAATAATGTCTTAGTAGTTTTATTGCGTTTTTTATTTTACGATTCAGACCAGATTTTCGATAAAACGGGGTCCGATTTTGAAAAAAATAATTATTTAAAAATTCTCCAAGTTCTGCTTTTCTTTTCTTTTTAATTATACAGTCATTAAAAATGATCTCGTTGAATTTCTCGAGTTCTGATAAAATTAAGTAAGTGGGGTTTCGTTTACACACAAAAAAAAAATATTTTTTTTTTTACCAAGTTTTCTAAAATAATTTAATTCTTTTGTTTGTGAATAAGCCCGACAATTATTTGTTGATTATTACAAGAATTTACAAATCAATGTCTTTCACCGCAAAAAAGACGCTAAAATTTGCTAATTTATAGTCCATCCACTGACACAAGAAAAACAAGATTTTTTTTACCAAAATTTCGAACGTTCTAAAATGGATTAAAAATATAATCAAAGATACTTTGATCTTTCCTCTTCTTAAAGATTTTTTTGACGATAAAACTTAGTTTTTTGGGGACATTTTTTTCATCATAGTATGCTCTTTTTTCAGCGAATTAGTGACCGTACCTACCCACAAGTAAATTAGTGAATTAACTGAATTATTCCCAACTATTGCAGTTCTTTTATATTTTCTTTATAAGATTAAGTTCCACGTTATTAAATTCAGATGCATTATTGTAGCAATTCTTAATTGAAAATTAAATCATAGCTACAATGAATGATTACTGTCGATTGTAAATTAAAATTCGCTTTTAGTTTAAATTAAAAATACTGATGTAATTAGAATTTTTAGCAAAGAATTCCCAAGAAAATAAACTGCAAATTAGATGTTAGCAGTTTATTTTCTTAGATCCCCCCCCCCCATTTTGGTGGGTTGGATACAAATAAGAACTCAGGTTATGCATATCTATAACGAAGTCTCAACTATGGTAACGTTGTGAACTTCAATAAATGTTCGCAATAATTCAGGCGAACTAAGCGGCGTAGGATGAGTGCTGTTGTGAAGGAGATCGCGCTACAATACTCATCAAATTCGGGATCACGATTTTCAAATGAATTGAGGATCAAAAGGAGACGATATTTTTATTGTTATCTTGTTCACGTGCTTATTAAAAGCTAAAGATGCAGCTTGAAATGTTCTCGTTAATTAAGTAAACATTTTGTTTTTTATGCACATTTTCAAGTTTTAAATAAAACAACGCTAGCCATAGTATTAAACGACACATTCAAAGAATTATCCATTAGGGTGAAATGATCTACCACTTGTTCAGTAAACCAATGATGAGACCACCAGTTAGAGGACGTTACAAACAAATAACAAATCTAATTTCAGACATCTGGATCATAAACAAGCATCATTCCCCTTTAACAAATATTTAGCGAATGAATACCCATTTGATCTTGAGAACTAGAAAAAAAGCTGTTTAGTTTAAGGAAAACAAGAATACTTGTGACACGTTCGATATCAACCAAAATTGAAAACAAACATGTTCTGTTAAAGATCAAAAATAAAATCATCATCTGCTTCAAATACATTTTTCTTTACATCGTTTCAGAGAAGCTCATGTTGAACTAAACTCATAGGACTATTTCCTCACCTAACAAAACTGTTCTTCCTACCAAAATTAAACACTAAACAATACTACTTACAGAGTAATACTATCTCCAAGCGCTTCAGTCAAATCCTTTTTGGTAACATTCACGTCGATTGGAATAGGCACCGCCATTTTGGATGCTGTCTGGAATTACTTCCGCAAAATAATAATTTGACGTCATCGTTATACTCTACGTCACTTCCTGCGCTACTGAAAAAGAGGCTGTGCTTCACTCAGTAGACGTGGCAGTATCTTCCGTTATCTAAATTACCCCCACCGATAAATGTTAGATTTACTGCATATCCTGAGACTGACAATTAAATGCGGGAGTAATAGAGTTATTATTAGCAGCGAATTGATTTTTTAAATTTATTTATTTTTTAAATTTGTGTTTCTGAAATTCAGGGGAATATGTATAACCTGTAAAAATGATAATGACAGGAGGGAGGTTGGTTTGTTATTACTTTTAAAAGATTTTTTGCTGAACTCATATTCTTATTGTTCATTTTTAGTTTCCAAAATGGAATTTGTAAATAAAGTTGTTTAAAAAAGACTGATATGGAAATTTTGTCATCAATATTTACATTTAAAAAATCAGTCTCTTTCAGATTGTAAGCCATAAAAACGATACATCATTAAAAGCGAGAAACAATCTGAAAATAAATCAATTTTCCGTGCTTTCTACAAAACAGCTGATCACAATATGGTCATGATCATCAATTCAAACAGTTCCTTAGTTCATGTATAAAATAAAAATGTTTCTATTATTTAGTGCATGTTATAGTTTACCTTGGTATTTTTTATTACTTTGAAACATGAATAAAAAATGCGTTTTTGTGTTTTATTACTTTTATTTTATTTATACTCAATTTAAAAAATACAGTTACAATAACTAAACAAATATCAATCCTTGATCACTGAGCCATCGCTATCCTGAAAAAAAGATTATTTAGGTTTTTTCAATATGTTTTATTATATTTAGACTTGACTTAAATCATACTATTCTTTTTTCGTGATATTCTTTTTTATTTTACATGTAGTAATTTTCAATATACACAGTACAGCATCGAGAAATATCACATTCTTCTAGTAATTTTTTTATGTGGTCAAATTCAATCGGTATAAGTTTCAAAATATGAGAACTGTTAATAAAGTATAACCGGTGTTTTAAACCGACTAAGGGAGATAATCAATGAATGCATTTCCGGGCGGCGTCCATGCTCGAAGACGTGGCCCTCAAGAGCCGCTGCTTGTTCTTCCTGCTTCTTGGGTTGCCACTACCACTTTCGACTACTCTTCCTTCGCCTTCAGTCTTTTTTTTTTTTTATTAGTTGTTGACCCTACCATACCTACTGCGATTGCTTTTTTAGTACTGTAGTGGTGTTTCTGGTAGGAGTAGTGGAGCTAGGTCCGTGTTTAGTTATCGGACAACGATCAAAAGTGATAGTTTTTAGGTACCGCCGGAGCTCTGCTACCAAACATGCCGCGGCAGCAGGAATTAATGGACAAAGCTGAGGACGTGGTCGACCAGGTTAGTTTCCTTCTTCTTATCAATATTTTGCTAATTGTATTTTATTTTGCGATTAATTTGGAAGTATAGCCATAGCACCCACCAAAAAAAGGCCTCCTGTTCTGTTAGCGTTGTTTAATTCAATAAATTCTCTGGTAAACTGAGCTGAAGGACCATCTTCATTTTTTGTCCTACTCTCTTCACTCCTACATTCTTCCCAATTTGTTTAGAAGACTGTGTAGTGTAAAACCGAGAGATCGACATTTACGTATCTTAAATATTGCTATGACTCTTCCAAAACTTACATGTGTTTCTTGTCTCCGTGTTCATTTACCCAAAACAGCGACGTGTTGAATGCGACCTGACTATTTACACATTTTGATGTTCACTCCTTCCTTTATTTCATCGAGCTCCAAAACCAAACTAAATTGGATTTGTCATAAAATACACCTTGGATGCAATATGAAGAGATTAACAAACTCCCGAAGGTGAAGTAAAATTGAAATCCATTTCAGCTTGATGAAGGAAAGAAAAGTAGTGAAACCGGTATATTTTTTTTCCTCGGTTAACATTTAACAATAAATAAATTATAAAACTACTACTTCAGTTTCATTTATTTCTTTGGGTGATACTGTTCCAGGATACTGGTCTCAAGCATGCTAACTTTAGTTTAGTCAAACCAAGGAACAAAATTTTAATTTTTACTTAACAGGAAAAAAAAGTTCAAATATGCTTAGGTCTCTACTTTTTGGATGTCATTACTGAATGGGTGGAATTTTTTTAGAAAAAAATCGTCAAAAATGTTGATAGGGATTTAAAGTTAATTTCTCCTATTTTAGTTTTAAAAGTAAAGTAAGTTTAAAAATTAGGGGTTGATAAAGAAAAATTGTATGCAATATTCTCTAAAATTACGAATATTACTTGCTGTTGCTTAAAAAAATCCTTTTTAAAACAACTACGAAATTCAAACTAAACTATAACTTTTTTTAAACTTTTGGTTACCAAATTAAGTGACAGTTGATGTGAAGTACTGAATTTGAAATTCATTTCTAATTATTGAAATAGTTAAAAATTGGTTTAAAATTCACAATCCAGGTATTAGGACTGTATATGTTTTAAAGATGCTAACTACTTGCAAAAAAACCAAGGCCGATAGCATTCTTAGCACTTAAAGAAAAACACAAAAAAGCCAGTTTTAAAAAGCGTTTTTAGTTGTCAAATCTCGTTGAAAAGCTTCATCCTTATGTTACAAAGTTACACGTACCCAAATTTTCCTCGTCATGAACGATGTCCCACTTCACTTCATCTAATCAGTGACATAAATAATAATAAACACGGATAACTTTTATCAAAATTAGCATCTGTGTTTAAATAGTTCCATTTTTACTTTGGAAATTGGTTATTTATTTTAATAAATTCCACATGATGAAAACAGTGATGATGCTTTCTTTTCTCTTTGTTTTGTTTTTATTTTTGTTAAACATTTTTTTAGTCACTATTTTCCCTAAGTAATAATCAACCAAAATTCTTATTTCAATAATGGATAGATTATTACTTAATATTAAAAAAAAATTAAAATATGCTTTCTACTAAAAAACAAAATCGTTTTTTTAGTTTTATTCATCATAGCCAAAAATTCTGAATTTACCCTTCCTCTTAAAAAAAGTTTCTGAGTAGTAACTTGACATAATTATTGTGTTACTGTTAGTTAGCATTTATTATCTCCTTTAGGAAAATTGTTTACTTTAGAGAAAATATTCTTTAAAAATATCTTTGTTTTGTGACAAAGCAAAAATGATATGATAGACAAAAAGTTTTGTTTGTCATATCATTTTTTCTGATATTCTTTGAATTCTTTTCTGATTTTTATTTTTTATTTTTATTTTACGTGTACTCTTGTTTGTAACCAAAAGAAAATTTTAGGCGGCTAGGAAATAATTGTCAAATATACAAAATAAAACTTAAAAAATCATATTCGCAGTATTACATAGCATTTTTATAGTTGATTCTCTATGTTGATTTAAAAGTAAAACATTCTGGATTTTTAGAAGTTTCTCTTTGCAATTAATTCATGGGGAGAGGTTACTTACCATTTGAATGACAAACAAAAATTGGTTATTATGTCGAAAAGATATGTTGGATTCTTTTCAGCCAGCTGAATTGGCTCTCTTCCAAGTAACCTGCATCTTCTTAACCTTGGTTGTTAATGTTTTACTACATTTTAGTCTTTGTGGTCACTTTTTGTAAAATACGTCAAGTTCTTATGTTGAATTAATTGAATGTGTGTGTTTTATTTTTATTTTATTTTTTTTTTTTATTAAAAAAAAAACTTGTCAACATTATTATTTTTTTTTCTCTCTAATTTATTTTGAAATTATTTACCATGCCGCATTCATGTTATGTTTACTGTTTTAGTATTTTTTAATTCGTGTGTGTCTCGGTATTTGATAATTTTTTTTTTTACCGGTCGCGTATCTTCAGTCCAATTAACAACAAAAAAAAATTAATCTCCATCACGTGTCTCACTAGGAAATTGGTCAATGTCTTTTTCTTTGGTACACGTGTCCACTTTTTGCTTATTACCCAACAAAAACGGAGTGGGAGAAAAAAATGAGTAGCAGTGTTACTAATTTGAATTGATCTTCCACTTCCTTCGAATTCATATGTCAATTTTTCTTTTTTAATTGATGTTCCATGATGATATGACTCAAATTGTACTGTGTATTAGTATTCTGTAGTTTATAAGACCAATATTTTTTAAAAAATTGCTTCTAGTTTTACGAAATAAAAACCAATACTTGTTTTACAAAAAAAATATTGATGTCCATCCATATGGCATATGGTTTCCGTTTCTTTCTTTTTGTTGTGCTTCACTTGGCATTTTTTGACTAAACTTGAACTTCATTTTTATTTTGGATTTCAATTTCGAGAGATGGTGAGTGTCAGCGAGTTAATAATTTTTTTATTTGCATTGGCGGATTCATTTTTTTAAGGTCATGTTTCTTCATGGTACATAGAAGATCATGGCTCTCCACACGCTTTCTTTTGTTATCTATGAGCTGTCATGACTTCTTCAGAGAGATATTGTTGTTTCCATTTGCGTTTGCCGTATATATTCGATTATGAATTCATATTAGTAGTCATTAGAGTAGAGACTAGTTGCCTTAACTTATCTTGATACTAACTTAATTCATAGCTGGGTGGGGAAAAAAATTGATTTTTATGCATTTAGTGCGAAAGGGAACGCAATTGACTAGGCCGGAATTTAAACTTGGCATGCAGATTTCACTTTCCGCGTCGCTAAATTTTACGCTCGAAAACAAGTACAGAGTAAAAGTAGAGGCGGACTATCAAAATTACTATTTTTGATTTCAAGCTGTGTTTTTGTGACTTTGTAAGTAATGGTTACAAATTCTTTTTTTTTTTTTTTTTTTCATAAAAATATTAGGTTATTCGGAAAATAATTTAGAAACCTTTTTAAATTGTGTTCTATAGTTGGATAAAAATATTATTTATTCCTATCGATTAAACTGTCCTCTGTTAATTTTATCTCGATCTCTTTCAGAATTTAACTTAAAACATTATATATACCCCCTCTTCTTGAACATGAAAAAAGAGATGCGTTTTTACTTTTTTTGCTTGGTCCTAATGCTTCTCAAACTGTTGCCAACATTAACAAAGCATGGGGATCAACTTGCGATCAGACAGTTAAGGCATTGGTTTATGAAGTTCCGCAGTGGGAAGAATTAGTAGTGAAACAAGGTGGCACAAGTAAAACGTACATCAGCAAACACTACATAATAAATAAAATAAACCCTACATCAAAGTGTAAGAGATATGTCTTGGATACTTAGTGTCAGTATTTCAACAATATCAAACCATCTCTAGAAAATTGGCAAGGTGAAGAAACTCAATGAATGGGTTCCACATGAACTCTGTGAAATTCAAAGAGTTTGATGTTTTGAAGTGTGTTCGGTGCTGCATCTGTTGACCTGACTTGTGATGAAAAATGAGTCCTTTATGACAACTGTAAACAACTGGTTAAATGGCTTGATCATGATTAAGGACCCAAACACTTTCCAAATCCGAAATTGCACTAATAGAAGTTTACACTACAGTGGTCCATCATTGGTGCCATCCATTTGAGTTTTCTGAAACCTAATCAGAAGTTTACTGCCATCAACTGGATGAAATATACGTTCAGTTAAGCAAAATGTGATTGATACTGGTTAATTGGTAAGGTTCAATTCTGCTTAATGACAATGTTTGGCTACATGTTGCCAGAATCATATGTAGAAAATCAACTTCGGATATGAAACTTTGTCACATCCACCATGTTCCTCTGATCTCACACTAAATGACTATCACTTTTTCAAGAATCTTGACAATTTTTTTTTAAGCAAAAAGACATTGTTGCAAAGATGCAGAAACTGCATTCAAAGTTTTTTTTTTTTTTTTTTTTTTTTTTGCATCCAAACCCTCATTTTTTTGCTGAAAAAACAGCATAGCATAATGAAAAAAGGTTTCAAACTTAATAAAGTTTATCATCAAAATATTTATGATTATTAAGAGGAAAAAGCAAAGTATTTTTTTTATTATTTTAAATTTTTAATCCTTTCTAGCATGTTCAAAAATCTTTTTTTCCAAGGTGAAAAACACGCTAATTTGGAAATTCTTATGAAAATCAGATTGTTGGATTTTAATGAGACTTTCAGATGTTCACAAATTAATTTAATTATTTTTGATATCTGTTTTTCAGAAAATCTTGGTAATTTTTTTCATATGTTCCAAAAACAAACACACAAAGATATGTACACTTAATTTTGTGAATTTTCAAGAAATTGAACTTTCATCCAGAATTTTTTTAATTTGTTAAAAGCGGGGATTTTTTTTTTTTTTTTTTTTTTTTTAACTACTACTAATTTCGAAAAATTTTGCTCAGAATCATAAAATAAAAATGCAATAAAACTATGGCATTATTTAATTAGAAAAGCATTTATAAATAAAATTTATTAAGGACA